TTTTATAGAAATGCTCTGATTCTTCCCCCTGCAGAGCATTTAAAACTGCCTTGCAAATGACGAGTGCATGCTGTGTCATTCTGAAAAACTAATGCCACTGTGGCTTACTGACCATGGTATTTGCCAGTGTTCTGAAAACTGGCTAATAAGGTCCAACTTGTGAACTCTCCCTTGGTGAGGGCATTCATCTGAGGAAGGGGAAAGTTTCCGCCATCTATAGGAGAATTTACAAAGGAGCCCCCAGGATGCTCCGAGCCCAAAGAAATCCAGGAACACGATTAATTAGCCAATTAGGTGAAACTTCATCAGCCAGGCTCCAGACTTCGTGACCTATGCCTCTAGCATCCCTGAGGGGAATGACCTTGGTCTAGGCTGGTGCAGTTTTCTGCTTGGGTAACTCTAATGCACTGTGGAGAAAGTGCAAGCCTGTAAGGGTCATCTGTAATTTTGTGATCTGTCCCCAATCTCTAGACATCACTGAGGGAGTATAACACAGAGCCTAAGTCACATCTCTGAAGAGTAGGGGTGGGAAGAGACAAGGGTGTCCTCACCTCCATCAACCCAGGGGTTTACAACTGGGTCACAGACGCAGACAGAACACTAACTGACACTTCATTTTGGACTGCACTTTGCTCCTAGCCACTTTTGAATTCATAGGTCCCAACCTATCAAGGAAGGGCTTATATATACACACACCCTTGGATGTGGAAGAGTGAGGTTGAGAAGATGCATCTGATTTCAAGGTCAAGGTTGTGAGGGTCCAGGGAAGAGGCAGGAGAGGGCCCCAGCATACAACACATGCGCTAGTTGGCCGTGTGTGTGTGTGTGTGTGTGTGTGTGTGTGTGTGTCTGGGGGCGGGGAAGAGGTGGTGCCAATCTACACAAGGGTTTACAGTGCCAAGAGCTAGCTAGTGGGCACCTCCAAGGAGGGATAGGTGGGTACATTTTCAGTCTCAGGGAAAGAAGGGATCTTGGGGTGCAGCAATCACCAATCCCACTCCTTCTCCACGTAGGAATCTGACTGTAATGCCCTGGCAGGAGGTCGTCTAGTTCCTGCTTGCGCTCCTCCAGGGACACGGAGCTCACCCCTTCTGGGGAGCCATCCACTGTGGGCTCCCCACAGCTGAAACCTGCTCCAACACCCGGCCCTCTGTCTTAGCTGTGGGAGGTGGACAGTATTATAGAATTTCTCTCCATGGTAGTATCTCAGACGTTTGAAGAGAACTAACACGCCTCGTCCATCTCTCTCTTCTTGACTGAAAAATTGTCGGTCCCTAGACGATGTGGCTTCCAGGCTTGTTTCTGTACTGCTGGTGTGACCTGGTCAAGAGATGGACTAGAGCTGAACTGGCAAGGTCCCTGAAACCACCCCGGTCTCTGTGGAGCACTTTACACTCACTTTTCAAGTTGGCCCCTGCTGTGTGTTTAGTTAATCAACACCACAGAGACTGGGTTTTTGATTTTTTGTTTGTTTGTTTTTTAATAATCATGTTCTTTAGTCACTTTCCCTATTGCCTGTACTCTTGGGGCTGATTCCTTTTCTCCATGAACCATGACACAGGACCTTGAAGGTAACTTATGGAAAATGTAACATCTCTCCTTAATAGGTTACATTTTGAGTCTATTATTGTTACATTTGGAGACTGTTATTTCAACCTACAGTGGTTTTCCTGAATCTTTATTCCACAATTTTAAACTCCAGCAGTCCCTCCTAGTTCTCTGTTTCTTAAATATTTTATCAGCCCAAATCTTAATAACTCCTGAAGCTTGATGGGTCAGCAGAAGCAGAGCCCTAAGGCCCACCATTAGAGACCATCCCCTGTGCTCAATCTAAATTAGTCACTAGTTCTCCCTGGGTATCATTAGTCAGTACCCAATGACTCCACCTAACTTCATGGCCACCAAAGCTATGTCTCATCCTCTCATCCACAAGAATTTAATAGATGTCATTTTCTTAGCCAAAAGGAATGATTCCGTGACTTCAGCGGCTGACACAAGCCATTCCATCAGGTATTTTGGAGAAACTTCTCTGCATCACTCAAGTGTCCCCTGTAGGTGGTCTGGGTGGCTCCCTCTCTGTCAGGGCTGACTGTAAGCATGAGCTTAAGCCACAATGCCTGAGATGCCAGAATCTTCTGGCAACTCACAAAGGCTTTCCTTAGGCAACCTCAATATAGGTCCCCACATGACCTACTTTTAGTGGACACCAAAGAAAAAAATCCTGGGGGACAGTCCGTCAGCTGAAAATTCCTATGTTCAGGGTCTGTGGCTGGGCAAGGAAGCTCCACCCTGGCTCGTGGTCACTAGATTGGTCTGTGTGACAGCGAGAGAGTGGCCTTCTAGGAAAATGCAGGATGATGGCTGTGAATGTCCTCTGACCCTTCAAACCAGATGTCTGCCCTGACAGACCCTCTGGATTACTGTAAATGCATTTGGCCCTGAGATTTTTGCCTGGACAATCTTTCTCTTTCCCCAGGGCCCACATCCTGCCCTCACACATTCTAAGAGCCATGTCTTCTTTTAACTGGTGTCCCAGACCATGATATGTGCAGCAGACATCCACCAAGTGTGCAGAACAGAGATGGGTACTGAGCTTCCCTACGAGGGAAGAATAAGAAAGTTCCCTCCAGCAATATGTTTTTCAGATCATCTATGCCTTTTCCATCCCATTAGATTTCTGCTTTTGATATGACCCTCTTAACCCCCACCCCAAATGCTTAGTATTGGAACTGGCACATAGTAGGCATTCAATAAATATTTATCCAATGAAGTGTCACTCACAGAGTCCTTTCTCCAGGATCATTTTTTTCTAGTGGAAGATGAATGTTCCCATTTCCTCAACCCAAGACCCACTGATGTTCTGGCCAATCTTCCTCTTATCCACACCATCCATTCTTTTCTTATGCCAAGAAGCCTGGCGCTTCACTGGACGCTCCCAGTGAGTTATCCTGGCGTTCTGCGTGGAACGGAGGTCTGTTAAAGATGTTATATGATGGTCACTGTCCTATCAGGCAGGGAAATGCTATGAAGGGGTGATTTGCTCCTAGGTCTTTCTCATCACTGGTTTAGATCCTCCACCTAAGGAATATCTGCCTTGCATTTCTGGGGAGAAGAAAATTTGGGAGTTGGAGACACCATTCCCATGAGGTACCTAGAATTACACTAAGATAGAGCTCCTGCCCTCAAGGGCTTCTCAGAGGGATGAGATGCATACCAATGGGTACTAACTATTCTGCCCGAGGTCATAAAGAGTAGAAAATTCTGAGAGACTGGGCTGTACAAGCCCACCTTCCAAATCAATTCTATGGTAAAGCAAAGTTGCCGTTGGTAAAGTTCAGTTACCAAGCAAAGTGTGTCTCTGCAACACACCCTCTGGTTATCTCCAATGGAAGAGCACACTTCCAAGCATCTACTGGAGGCGGTCCAGCCCTTCCAGCTGAGGAATGGATGGGAATCCTTTCCATGCTCAGGGCAGGCTGGACCTGTTCCCAGCGTACTTGGCCTGCCCTGGGAACAGAGAGAGAGAAGCAGGGCAGCGTGAGTCACGAGAGGAAAACACATGGACCACAGTCTGGGGGGGCACTTCCTCTGGGGCCCAAATATGGCCATTTCAAGTCACCTTTCATCAGCAGTACTGCTGGGGTGGACTGGAGGCCAAGGCACAGTGAGGCTCCTTGACCCGGGTTCATGGTAGATCCCACCGTCCCTTGGGGGTGAGAGTTAACATGGTACACAGGGACGGGAGTCTCACTGCCACCTTTTCCTGTCCTACCTTACACATATGAGGAGAGCAAGAGGCATCTGTTTAGCTGTTCGGGTGAAGTTTGTGGAAAATAAAAAATAGCTCAATCTGAAACTGCACCATAAATGTCAAAGGGTCACAAGTCCTGTTGGCCTCTTCTAAGTGCTGACTGGGACTGGCAACATTAGAGTCATCAGAGGAAGCTTAGAAAAATAAGTTGGTCTTATAACAGGAAGTTCTATTGCAGGAGGTCAGGGGCGAGGCCCCAAGTCTGCATTTGTAATCTGATCCTCAGCTAGATTTGGGACCAACTATCCAGTGGTTTCCAGCCTCCAAGATGGCCCCCAATGATCTCCGTCTTCTGTATTCATGTCCTTATATCATCTTCTCCCACACAGTACCAGGGTTGGTCTGTGCGATCAAGAGAATGCAGCAGAAATGATGGACATCACTTCTGAGATGAGGTTTTAAGAGACTTTGGCTCCTACCTGGTGCTGCCCTCTCACCGTCACTCACTGTGGGGGCAGACAGTCACCATGTCTTGAAGACACTCAATCAACCTATGGAGAGGCCAAGCCAAGGGAAACAGAGGGCTCCCGCCCATGGCCAGAAAGAGACCAAAGCCTGCCTACAAACACAGGAATTAGCATGGGGTGGGGTGGAATCTCCAGCCCCAGCCCAGCCCTAATTGCAGCTTCAGGAAACTGAGAAGAATCAAGCAGCTAAGCCACTGTGCCATCCCGACTCTCAGAAACCATGCGAGATAAAAAATATGGTTGCTAGGCTGAAAAATCCAGGGAAATGTGTTACCCATCAAATAATAACAAGTACATGGTCCCAGTCCAAAGGGCAAGCTCAGGAGGTGTGTCTTGCTCACCTTTTTAGCTTCAGGTCTCATGCATGTTTGATGCATCTTCTCTCCAATATCATCCCAGGCCACACTCTGTTCTCCTGACTTTGCCCCAGTTGTTCTCTGTGCCAGAAATTCCCTTTCCCCATGAATGCCATCCCCAAAGTGTCCTCACACACAGATCCAACTGGGGCAGGTCTCCCTTGTTTATGCTCACACACACACTTCTTAAAATCATCAGGAAAGAAGTGAGTTACATGGGAGAAGGAAAATGTCCAGGTGATGAAGTTATCAAGAAGCCAGGAATTTCAGTTACAGGAAGATTGCAAGTTCCAAGCTAGTCTCAGCAACTTACCCCCGTCTCAAAATAAAAATTAAAAAGGAAGTCTTCAAGAGCATGTGACTTGCCTCTATCTGGTTGAACAACAAATTGTCAAATTTGAACCCAGGAATCCTTTTATCACTGCACACCACGCCAACGTCTTCTGTGTGCTTGCAGTCGGTGACACCCCAGCCATTGGAGGAGCAGGCTGCCAGGGTCGCCTCTTTGCCAGTGCAGTGGACATTGTCCAACCAGATGAGCCCTGAAGGAAGCAGAGGAGAGAAATCAAGCACCATATCAATGCAGATCGGGTGTCTGGGGGGATGGGTACTGATTTTTGGCAGCTGTGTGTGGCCATCATTTGGTTTCATGTGAAGATATTGCATCTGGTCCTAGAGCATCAGGATTCCCTTGCCGGAATAGGCAGCTGATGGATTTGGGGAAGTGGGAGGCTGGAAACAGTTAAGACAGAATCATATTGAAGCTCAGTAGTCATGTGGTGTAGCTGAAAAAGCAGGGGCATCAGCGACTGAGCTGGGTTTGAGTTCTAGCTCAGGCACTTTCAGCTGAATGATCCTGGTTAAAGCTAAAGTGGGGTGACAGTGGCACTTGAGCGGTAGGGGTGTGTGTTGATTAGATAGTACATAGCACGTGCCCGGTTTACTGCCACCTCTTAGTTACCCAAAATGGTAATGACAAGGAAGAGAAGGATTTTAGTGTTCCTGACGATCGCACAGGCCAGCTTCACCTGCCATGTGTGGTAGAGGCTGACCTCTGACCCCTTGGGGAAAAGCAAAGCTATTCTGCAATTGAAGATTTGCAGATTTGGGGGCAATTTCCCATGGATGACCTCCTAGATCTTTCCATACCTTGGGGAAGAGGACAGGGTGGCATGATTATTTCCACATGAAGGAAGCAGAGCCCTGGTTCAGAGAGGTAGCCCACATGTGCCAGGCTTCTGACCCCAGAGCCTGGGCCTCAATTCCCTGCTCAGTGCCCTTTTCATTTCTTGATGTTTATTAAGCCTGGTTGAGAGATGGGCCAGCTACACTAACCCAGAGAGCCAGCTCTTCACATTCCAGAAGGCCGTTGTGGAATTCTGCTCACCTCCTGCTCTTTTATGTCACCTGCTAAGTAGAGAATCCAGTGTGCAAAGAACTAGAGTTTAACCACAGTGAGATACCACCTTACACCATCAGGATGGCTACTATCAAAACAACACAGAAAATAACGAGTGTTGGTGTGGCTATGCACCTGCTATGGAAAGCAGCAAGTTGGATCCCAGCGGCTCGGGAGACTGGGGCAGCCTCAGTAATTTAGTGGGGCCCTAAGCAACTCAGTGAGACCTTGTCTCTAAATAAAAAATATTGAAAAAAGGGCTGGAGTTGTGGTTCAGTGGTTAAGCACCCCTGGGTTCAATCCCTGGTGCCCAAAAAAAGTAAAATAAAACTATCATACAGTCTGGCAATTCTGGGTATATATCCAAAAGAACTGAAAGCAGGGTGTCGTACAGGTATCTGCACACCCTTGGTCACAGCAGCATTATGCACAATGGCCAAGGGGTGGAAGCAAGTCTAGTATCTGTTGACAAATCATGGTACATAAACACAATGGAACAGACTTAAAGAGGAAAACGTTCTGACACCTATCACAGCATGGACAAACCTTGGGGACATCAGGTGAAGTAGGTCAGTCAGTCATGAAAGGACAAATGCTAGATGATTCCACTTAGATGGAGCATCTAGAACAGTCAAACTCTCACAGAGACAGGAAACAGAATGGGGTCATCAGGGTCCAGGGGCAGGGGGAGTGGGCCGTGCTTGTTTCATGGGCACAGAGCTTCAGTGCTGCAAGATGGAAATGTTCTGGAGATGTCTACCACAGGAAAGGTGAACATGCTAAATGTACCTAAAAGTAAACTACTGCACTGTGCACTTCAAAATGGTGAAGGCGTAAATTTTATGTTATGTGTGTTTTACCACCATTAAAAATAAAAATTAAAAGAAAATGTCAGGCATGGTGGTGCACGCCTGTAATCCCAGTGGCTTGGGAGGTTGAGGCAGGAGGATCGCGAGTTCAGAGCCAGCCTCAGCAACAGCGAGGCACTAAGCAACTCAGTGAGCCCCTGTCTCTAAATAAAATACAAAATAGGGCTGGGGATGTGGCTAAGAGGTCGAGTGCCCCTGAGTTCAATCCCTGGTACCCCCTCTCTCCAAAAAAAAAAAAATTTTTTTTAAAGGTGCTAGAGGGTTCTTAAATAGTGATTTTTATAAATGCCACTACCAAATAAAAGAAAAGAAAACCAAGAGTCTCGTTTTTCTCAAGGCGCCATTTAGAAGCCCACTGAACATTAGAGTCCCACAAACCTGGGTTCTAGTCCCATCTACCATGGACTTGGGCACTAGTGACTTGGTCAGCTACTTAACCAAGCTTGGTTCCCATTTTTCAAATAAAACAATGCCCAATCAACAGGTAGCCATGGAGATCCAATAAAATAATGGGTTTGCCTGGGACATACTCAGTCTTCCTTTCCTCCTCCCAGGAAGTCAGGAAAACAATACATTTTACTGCCTCCATGATCAAGGAAAAAAGAAGATTTAAAAACACCCCCATTATAGAGATCAGAAAATCAAGGAGGGAAGCTGAGGTTCTTTAAGGTCAGGGAGGCCACAAGGGCCAATCTTCTGACTTCCAGGCCTGGTTGGAACGCGTCTGCTCTGATGGATGGTTAGTCTGGTCTCAAAGGAGAGCGCCTCAGACACGTTGTGGGAACAAAGAGTTTATTGAAAACATCTGGGCTGAGGTTTTCCAACTGGTTTCTCAATCTGGCCTGGTTCCCAAGCCGTGGAACTCCACTGAAACAGATGCTCCCTAATCAATTGCTGTTTCTACAACAAGCTCGTGTTTGTCTTACTAAGTACTGGCAACGGAAAAGACCCTCCACCTTTCAAGTGGGGCCTCTCCCTTGGAATGTTCTGTAGCTGCGCTGCCCAAGAGCTGATGGTAAAAAGAAGTGGTGCCCTTATTCCATCTGCAGCGACAGAAACCATCCTCGCTAAGGGCTGGAGCAGAGCAGCACACCTTTAAAGGAACCATGCAGAGTTGCAAAGCCTGGATGCTACGGAGTTAGCTTCACGTTTGAGATGGAGCCTAGGAAGTTAGCACCCAGGAGTGCTGAGGGAGCTAAGCCACCCAAGAGCTGCTCTCTTCTGCACCTTCAATGGACCCCCAGTGAGGCTGCTCACACTACCTAAGCTTGGCCAATTACTTTTTCTTAATACGTAAATCTGAACTTAGAACAAGACGACATCACCATGCTTGGTCTACTCTTTAGCCCAATTTCACAACAATTTTTTTGTTTTATTTTGTGATTTCCCCCTATACACTTAGTGTCCATCTCCTAGATTGTTCTGATTCTGGTGCAGTCAGCCTCTGGGCCTGCCTTCAGGAACACAGGATGGATCTAGGCATAGACTGGCATCTAGCTTGCTGGGAAAGTGGTATTTGGGACACAAGATGAGGCTCACACTTTGGACACAAAAAAGCTATTCAATCAGAAGCAAAATTTCCTTTTACTCTTTCCACTCATTTACTCTATGAAATGCTTCTCCTGATGAGAGAAGAGATGTGTGAACAAATTAACAGGTCCTTTGGAGGAGAAAGATCATAAACGAACTTCCGTTTGAATGCCAGGCCCTGGGCTCTGCCGGGGTAATGGAAATTGTTCAAGTTAGAATCTGCAGGGTCATCAGCTTTGCGGTTCTGATCAGGAATAGGGGTACAGTTGGGTGGAGAACCTAAACCTTGGTTCATGAGGCTGGGAGCCACCCAGAGGGTGTTAAATGGGCCAGCTGCCTCTTCTAGAACTAAAAGGGCCGTGGTTTATCAGACATGCTGTGAGCGCTGAGACCTGCTGACAAGCCAGGCTGGGAAACTAGGAGGGGAGGGGGTCCCTTGTACCCCAGTCTCGTTATTTCTGCTTGAACTACACAGGAGACTGGGAACTCCTGGAAGAGTGGCCTCTTATAGGGTCACAAGCCTGATTTACAGGTCAAACTCTATTGGGGCACAGCCCAGGGCACTGGCCATACTCTGGTCATAATAGCACACACTGTTGTGGCAACTGTTTTCGTATTCTCCCAGATCAAAATGGATCAATCAGCTGATACTTAAGGTGCCCAGGGCTAAAAGCAAACCAAAACTCCACCCATGGCAATGAAATGCACATTCATATTTAAAAGGCCTCTCATAATGCAAACCAAGTACCACTTTAGATGAACAGCCTGCCTCTTAAAGCCCTGGACGCGGGACACACTGTTCATTGACTCTAGCATGTATTTCTCTCTGTCCTCTTCTTGAACTACACCTGCCATAACCTTGATGGCTTCAGTGTCCACAGACTGCCCTTCTAGTATTCTTGGATTCTCGGTCACATACCTCCTCTGTCCAGCGGCCTTCCTCCACCCAGCTGCAGCGGCCCCTCCATGGTCATAGCTCACACCTTATTGTTACCAACCACTGTGCCCTCCTCCACCTCTTTTTCACACTTCACTCTTCATCTGTGCCCCTCCTGCTATCTGTTTATTCCTTTAATGCCACGGTGTCTGCAGGGACCCCTGATGTACAAATCGCAGCAGACTGCAAGATCCTTTACTCCTTCAATACCAGGCATGAGCTCCCTGGACCAAGCTTTAATCCCTCCCTCGACTCTTCAACTCTTCATCCACATCATCCTTGGACAGCAAAATCCCACCCAGGAAAGCCCATCTTTCCAACTACCCCCATGTCTGCTTCTGCTGAGAAAAACCATAACCACCTTGTCTGATGACAGGTAAGCTTTAAATTTGGGCAGAAATAAAATAAAGTTGTCACCAGAGACAAAAAAATACCCCACTGTCACTGGAGAGTACTTATCACAAAATAATGAAGCCTGGAGAGTCTGGAAAAAGCCATGAGCCTGATGTTGTCAGCCCTGGATCCCTCAGCTGGCAGTATAAAGAGGTGTGGACGTACGCAGGAGCCCTGGAAGTTTTAAAGAAGGTAGGAAATGGATTCCAAAGGTCCCACATCTGCTAACCCATCTCGGCTGCTTTGGCTCTAATCCTGCAAGAAGCCCAGAGCGAGCTGCTGAAAACATTTGACTCTAGGTACCGGCTCCTGAGCCAGATCTCCTAACAGGAAACTTTCCATTGCATGGAGGTAAGGCATGCAGGGGATGGTGCATGCGTCCTTTCTCCTATAATTTCTAGAACAGAAGGAAGGGTTGGAGGGAAGCCTAACACTTGTCTATTTCACTGTCTCCCAAACCAGTTCACAGATACAATCCTGGCACAGTCTCCCAGAAGCCCAGCTCCCCACCACCAGCCCAGACTTTGGAAACCAGAAGACTGTGGGTTTAGGTCTGAGGTGTTCTGTATTTTTCATCCCCTCGGGAGAGTCTTACACAGTTAGTGCAGCACTGATCCAGTAGTGCAGGACAGGAGTGTGGCACGTCTCTCTAGTTGGCAACCCGGCCCCTGCTGGTGGGATAGCTACCTTTGCTTTACCAAGCCAGGGAAGATCTCAGCTCCTGGAGGGAAATTGTTTAAATGATGCCCTTCACCTCCACCACCTACTTTCCCTTTGGGGAACACAGGCTGAGGATTTCAAGAGTTCTCGGAGAGCCCAACTTCCAGATGGGGAAACTGAAGCCAAAGAGGATATGTATCTCCCTATATGGAAGTCTGACTGACTTCCCATGTGCAGTCAGTCACACGCTGCATGACAACATTTCAGTTGACTGCAGACCATGTATGTAACAATGGTCCTCCCAAATTCTATACTATCACCTAGTGACCTCCTAGCTGTCTCAGTGTGTGCAAGGACACTCTATGATGTCACAGCAACAAATCACTTAATGACCCATTTCTAGACCTTATCCCCAACATTAAAAAATGTGTCCTTAGGTCAGCACTAGCTCTGAGTTGGGTTTAGGGTTCTAAGACCCACCTTTCAAAGCTCCTACAAGCTGTTGCTGCATCTTTCTTTCAAGATAAAGTCATTTGAATCTAATAAGGGAGGAAAGGATGCGCCAAAAAGTGGTGAAAAACACAAAGTGACTCTGTTCCTGTCATGCCCAAGGCCACACTAGCACGTTAGTGTTAAAGCGATGAACTCCACCTGGGTAGAATGCGCTAGTCCCTGGGCAGCCTTTGTGAGACAGAACAAAGGTCCTGCTCTGAAGGGGCCATCTGAAGGAAGGCATGGTTCTCTTGGGCAGATGATGCAGTCTTCAGGGAGGTCATCGGCTTGGAGAGATGCTCAAGGCCAATTTCAGCACCCGCCTAGGGTCGCTAACCATTCCTGGTTTGCCTGAGACTTTCTGTGCTCAAACCAGGAAAGTCCCAGACAAATTAGGATGTCCCTCCCAGGTGCCCTCCTACCCACTTTCCTGCAGGACGCAGCCTGGGCGGGCAGATGGAGTAATAGCAGGATTGTATTCAGACTCCATAGCAATTTGAGCTTTCTTTGCCAGGCTAACCTACAGAAAACTGCTCCCAGTCTTGCCAGGTGACAGACACTGAGTTCCAAACACAGAGCTTTTTACCTTCGCCCTTGCCGTAGGAGGAGCTGGCGGTCCAGGACTTGGCCTCCACATATCCCAGCTCTCGGCAGACGACGTGCGCCGCGTGGATGGAGAAGTCGTCGTCGCACACCGTGCCCCACTGGCCGTTGTAGTAGACCTCCACGCGGCCCTCGCTGTGCTTCCGTTTCTGCCCTGCCAGGCGCACCTGGATCTTGGCCACATCAGAAGGCACCTGGGGCTGGTGGTACTCTGGAGCTGGCTGCTGGAAATACTCGGGGTACTGGAGCTGGTAGGGCCAACTCTCGTACTGCGCCAGGCTCAGGGAGGGCAGGAAGGCAAGCAAGGCCAAAGAGCTGCAGAGGCAGGGGCAGACAGGCCTCGCCATCCTCGTCTGCGATGGGAGGATCCCTCAGAAGGAGCCCTGAGGAGTCAGGGGCAGGCAGGGGAAGCAGCAGGGGCCTCCTGGAAGGGAGGAAAGTCACGTCAGGGTAGGGTGTTTAGGACAGGATTCAGGGTTACAGACATCCCAGAACCTCCGAGTTCACACTTCTGGGCTTTGTATGGAAAGCTTTCTGATTCCATGTTCCACCCATGTCCACTCCACCTAGCATCTGGACCATACGGGTCAATGGGTGCCACCTCTTTTGCCCACCTGCCTTCCCATATCTCCGGAATGCTTTTCTCAATAGGGCTCCTGGCCAGGAACACCGCACACTGGAACTCAATTTAAGAAGAGTTTTTAAACTCTATCTATGGAGATGTGGGCAGAGTTCAGGGGAACTAAGGAAAGACGGGAACCTTGGGCTGGCAACGGAGGTGAGCCTTACCACCCACGGGGCTTGAAGGGTCCCTGGGAGAGGAGTTGGTTCCAGGACGGGAGCAGGGACGTTGCTAAAGGGTTTCAGAGCCACCACAGCCACCTCTGTTAGGAGGGTTGGGAGGGATGGTGGCCCTCACTCCCATGTTCTCTGCTCTCTTTCTGGTGCCTCCTATTGGGCAAACCCAACTCAACCCACCCTGAAGGCAAGAGAGGGTGAGGAACCCACCGGAGGAGCCCAGTGGACCAGCCACCTGGGGGTCCAGGGGCTGGTGGAGAGGGAGGACAGTGGGTCCGATGGGGGATGGGGCGAGTGCAGGCTCCCACTCTGCACCCTCCCTGGCTCCCACTGCTTCCATCCTCTCGCTCCCCAGGGCCAGCTCACCTCTGGCGTCCTCCACGCATCCCTACTGAACCAGCCTGCAGGGCCGTCTCCTGCCGAGGTTGGGCGGGGATCCTGACATTCTTCTGCTACCTGCCCAGGTACTTTCAGGTGCCCAACTTGGTTACATGCCTCTTAGGGCAGGGCTCGTGCATTACTGTTCTCTGCTCCCTTCATGGTAAATTTCATAGGCTCCATGGACACGTTTACTGGATGGGAAGATAGTTTGGCTCCAGAGACTGAGCTGCTAGTGGGGTGCAGGATTTGAGTACCACCCTGAAGCTGCCCGCGCTGGAGAGTCTGGCAGGTTTCTGCGTGAGCTTGCCCACTTCTCTAGGGTAAGGCATTCCCGCTGGGCACCACGGACCAGAAGGACATGGCCTCTTTGAGGAGCTAAAGGGAAGCTTGGCATCTCCTTCACCTTCTCTCTCTTCTCCCACACACATCCAAACCTTCCTGTGGCACCCACCCACACTTCTGATCATACCATGCCTTACATCCTGGACCATGAGGAGGGCAACCACCCCTAGGGGAGTCAGTCAAAGCCCCCTCAAACAGGCCTCAGGATTTGTCTTTAGCCAAACTGGGAATTGTGCAAGGGAGCCATCCGAGGTCTATGTCTCACCCTCAGAGCAGCCATAGTGCCCTGGTGACAATCTCCTCCTTTTCATAGTGACTATTCCTGAAGAACTCAGGAGATTAGGACCAGCCTGCTCCTGGTCCGGAGGGGAGGAAATACACTCTCTGTGGCAAACAAGAAAAGGGCCAAATGGCCTGTCACTAGCCAGGGAGGTAAATTAGCAGAATGGGAAGTTAGCAAGTTAGCAAGCTCTGGAGCCAGAGGGTCTCAGTTTGAATCCTCATTCTGACACTTAGTAGCTGTGTGGTCTCCGAGGCTATATTTCTCCTTGCTTCAGTTTCCTCATCTACAGAATGGGGATTACCCATATTTAGCCCACAGAAATGTTCTGAGGATTAACTGAAGGTCACCTCATAAGCACTACAGGAGCATTTGTGGTCACCATATCCAGTGGAGCCTGATTCTAATTGCAGAGGTCAAGGAACCTCCCATGCCTTGGACCTTACATCACAGAGATCTGGGGCTTTACAAGGACTGCAGGTGCATCTCAAGGAGGAGGAAGCAGATTGGGATGTGGGATCCCAAAGGGCAAAAGCAGGACGAGAAGGTGGAGCCACAGGGGCATCATACACTCACTGTGACCACTGTGCGCAGGGGCAGGGTGATCATGCTCCTCAGCTCATGGTGTGTTACCCTTGGGGGAGGACCAAATGACCTTCCCAAAGGCACAGCCACCCAGAGCTGCCGAGCATCTGCCAGGAAGAGAGGCAGCTTCCACGGGTCTAGGGATGCCCACAGAGCCCAGAGCCCTGCAGTGGGTGCCAGAACACTGGAAGCCCTCATTCGTCACTGGATCCCCAGCAACTCACATCCCGTGACTCACAACAAGGTCAGAAGTGGTGGGGGTTTCCGAGACCGACCCCTTCAGATCACACCCTGACAAACGAGGCCGTGGCTCCAAAGCAGAATGGTGGCTTGGCCAGGCTCCCCTCCTGGCCACAGAGGCTTGGGGACCTTGCGGAGGAAAGGAGGCAAGTATTCAATTTCTTATTGCACATGGGAGAAAACGAAGACGGAGAAGGTCAGCTGCACAGTTAGTGCAGACAAAGCTGGAACTGGTCACCTGCAACCTATTAAGGTGTCAGCCATCCCCCATCACATACAAAAAATGTCAAGTTCGGCCTGGGAATCAACGCAGTGCAAACCGGCTCTTCCAGCTTCAGTTCCAACTGTACCTCTCTCCCTGTCCTCACTCCTGCCCTTCACATGCCACACATCCCATCATCCCATCATGTCCACTAAAGCACAGCACCTCGGCCCCTTCCTGTCGGAGATGATGCCACAACATTCCTGCTCCTCAGGAGACCTTCCCAGGTCCTCCTCTGAGAATGAATGTCTTCTCTGGTCCCTTGAAAGTCGCATTTTGTTCATGCTTTATACTGTTGTTGTGTCTGGCTCTGCCACCAGAGCCTCAGCCCCCCGGGACAGAAAGCACCACGTCTGTTTCTGGTTAGGGAAGACCAGCTCGAGTTAGATAAATTTTCTTGCCAAGAACAACTAGAAAAAGTAGAGAAATACTAAAAACACCCTGTCAGGCACCCCACAACAACTTTTCACTAAATCACAGGCTGTGTACATGATGGTGGCCCCGTAAGATGACAACAGAGTGAAAAATACCTACCACTCAGTGTCCTGGTAGCACCCACTAGCATGAAGCATCACCCATGTGCTCATGATGCCGGTGGAAATAAGCCACCTGGTTGCCATGTAAAAGCACAACACATTCCATTATATACAGTAATTGATAATGATAATGAATGACTATGGTACTGGTTTAAGTACTTACTGTATATAGGTTTTGCAGGGGGTACTAGGGATTGATCTCAGGGGCACTCGACCACTGAGCCACATCTCCATCCCTATTTTGTATTTTATCCAGAGTCAGGGTCTCACTGAGTTGCTTAGCGCCTTGGTTTTGCTGAGGCTGCCTTTGAATTTGAAATCCTTTTATCTCAGCCTCCTGAGCCGCTGGGATTACATCATGTGCCACCACACCCGGCCCTATATATGCCATTTTGTCATTATTTATGAGTGTACACCTTTTACTTATAAAATAAAACTTTAATGTAAAACAGAACACGGTGTCACATCACCAAGAACCTCGTGCATCTTGTGTTCATGAATCTCTTTACTGCATCAAGTGATCGTGTCGTGGGACTGACGTGTGGCAGCTGGGCGGCTGTGAGTACTCTGTGATGTCCACACAGTGACAGAAGCACCTAATGATGCATTTATCAGAATGTGTCCCATCATTAAGTGGAACCTGGCCGTATTGGAAGACACTGGAAGGCTACCAAGGCAGCAAACGGGGCCAGCAAGGGCCCCAGGAGCCAATACCCCACGGGGACAGGAAACACAGTCACAGAGGCTCACGTTTGTCTCTGCTGCTCCCTCACAGAACTTGCCAGGGGCCAAGAGGCTGAAAAGCTAAGCACAGCTCTTGGCAGCCTCCAAGGGCTGACAGGACAGAAAAAATGGGGCTCAGAGCTTGCCAAGGAGCAGGGCGACTTGCTAGACAGCCCTGGGCTTCTGGATGGGGTCCCCAAATGGCTGAATGCTACAAGTTAGGACACAGACTGGTTAGAAAGGTCTAAAATCCACATTCTCAGAATCCCCAAGAAGAGACAAGAAAGAGGGCTGGGGATGTAGCTCAGGTGGTAGAGCACTTGCCTTGCATGCACAAGGCCCAGCAACACACACACACACACCACACACACACACACACACACAAATTAGCTAAGGTCATCAGAATGAAGTTAACAAAACAGATTTTATGTTTCTTACAGGAGACAGGTTAAATGTAAAAGAATAGGAAATGATACATCATGCATACATTAGTTAAGGGAAAGTGAGAATGAAGTGAGATAAAGTTGACTCCTAGAGACCAAAAGGAACAATTAATGATAACGAAAGAGTCAATCCACCAGGAAGATGCAACTCTGCTGAAATTGCATACAACACCTCAGAATGTATGAAACACTGACAGAATTAAAAGGAAATAATAGAACTGTAATCCCAGGGGTTGACTTTACACACCTCTCTTGGTAGCTGACAGAAGAAATAGACAAGATATCTTGGCACTTGTTTTAGTCAGCTTTTTTGTCACTGTGACTAAAAGACCCAACCAGAGCCATAATAGAGGAGGAAAAGTTTGTTTGAGGGCTCACAGTTTCAGAGGTTTGAATCCATAGACAACAGACTCCATTCCTCCAGCCTCTAGGTGAGGCAGGACATCATGGCGGAAGAGTGGCAGAGGGAAGCAGCTCATATGGTGATCAGAAAGCAGAGACTCCACTCTCCAGATACAAATATATACCCCATATATTCACACCCCCAATGAAGCACTTCCTCTAGCCACACCCCACTTGCCTCCAGTCCCCACTCAGCTAATCCCATCAGGGATCAATTCTCCCAACCATATCTCCTCCAACCCTTCTTGCATTGTCTCACATGTGAGCTTTTGGGGACACCTCCCATCCAAACCATAGCAGCACTGAGGATGTAAATGGCATTATTAACAAACTTGACCTAATTCTCAAGTTTCTATAACCTGTGCTCGTCAACCACTAGAACAGATTTGCTTCAGGGACCCATGGAAGATTTTCCATGATGAACCCCAAGTT